ACACACACACACACACACACACTGTGTCTTTGTGCTCACAAGATGTCCTGTCTGGATCTTCACTAAGATAAGCACCAACAAATAAACACGTGACATTGGTGTGCTTGTTATTGTAATGGAGAAGACTCTCTGGAACCTTCCTTTAACCGCTAACTGACCCTGTAACTTGTGCAAATGGACTTTTCACTGATGATGTTCAGGAGGTTTTGTGGCGTATACCATCTCTTCTGGGTGTGTGCCACAAGCTTTGAGCTGGTTGTGGTCATGAAGGCGAGGCTCTGCTCTACAGTGTGCTGTAGTGAAGCCATAGCAACAACAACAAAGGCAGTAAAATATAGAAAGAATAGTAGCATAGCTTTTTATTGCCTGCATGCTGTCACTGTTTTCTTCTGTCGATGGCCGTGTCTCAGCAGAGATGAAGCTGGAGGACAGGAGGTGCTTTAAACCAGCTCTTACCCCGTATCCTCTCTCCCTTTCTGTGCCTTTCTCTCCCCTCAGACTCAGTGCCAGAGGAGCTGGTTGAACCTCTATACAAGGACCAGTACAACCAGGAGCACCTGAAGCCTCCAGTGGCCTGTCTGCTCCAGTCTGCAGAGCTCTACTGCCGGGCAGGGAGCCTGATCCTCCGTAGTGATGCTGTCAAACCTTTACTTGGACACAACGCTGTCATCCAGGCCCTGGCCCAGAAAGGCCTGTACGTAACTGACCAGGACCGACTGGTCACTGAGAGAGATCTGACCAGCACGCCTATACATATGGTGAGTGGAGAGTATGTGATTGAAAACATCCTGATTTATTTACAGCATTTACATTTTGCGGTTTAGTCTAGTTTATGTTTTTTCTGTATACACTTTTTGTACTGTGCATAAATGTACATGCTCACTCTTAGTAACCAGGCTACAATTAAGGATTCATTTTCATTAATTGTCTATTAAATGTCAAAAACTAGCGGGAAAATGGCCATCACAGTTTCTCATAGCCCAAGATTATGTCTTCAAATTGTTAATGAACATATACAAAAATTGCAATGATATAAAACAGGAAATACAGGAACCAGCGAATTACTTATTAAATGACTTAAATCGATTTATTATAACTAACTAACTTATTAATCAACTACTTATTTCAACACTATGATAACAGTGGATGTTGCTGTGTGCTTTGCTGTGTCTTCCCCTCGCTGAGCATAAGCGAGTTATAGGATAGTGTGTTTGTGTGTACCGCTCCGTGTGTCCTACCGTCCTCCAAGATCTGTCCAGAAAAACAACCGCTAATGACGGGTTTCCTATAGCAACCCATTACTCACTGTTCAGTCTCTGTGTCATTAGACAGCACGGGGCAAACATGCCATAGCTCGCACCACCAAGAGATATTCCAGTAGTACGTTGTCAGTACTGTGGAACATAATAAGGCTGCAACATACAGTAGTTATTTTCATTATTGGTTGATATTCATCTGAAATTAATTATTTTTTGTCCAAACTACAATCCAAACCCAAAGATATTCCGTTATATGATAATTTGGGACATTTTTGCTTAAGGAATGACTTAAACAACAACCATAGCTGTCAGTATTTTCTTTTTTTTTTTGGACATATCAATTAATTAGCTCATCGTTTCAGCTCTAGAACATAACACACCTTTTTCAGTTTCGCTGGGTGTGAATAGAGCGGAATCGATTCTGAGCTCGAGTAACGTTCATTTATGGTGCTTAAGTTGTGAAAGGACAGTGAGTCTGTGGCAGCTTGATTTAGACACACTGCTAGCACATGCATGGCTGGAGACCGGGCACTTCTGCTGACGCCAAAAGGTGTCTGCATTGCAGTGTACCCTCTCTCTCCCCTCCCTCCCTACCTCCCACTCCTGCTCTCACTCTGTCTGTCTTACTGTTTCTTACCTTAAGTCTCTTGTCTCTCTCTCTGTTTGTTCCTCCTTCTGTCTCCATCCTTCTCTCTTCCTGCCGTGGTCTCTTTTTTAGCCTTTGCTACCATTCCTCCGTCTCATCCAAACTCTTATCTTTTTGGATTAAATGAACCTGGGACATTGTTATCTCCTGCATATTTAATTGAAGCTTAAACATATTCCATCAAGCCCGACAGTACCCCCACATCTTTCTCTCTCTCTCAGCTTTATTTGCCCTCTGCTTGTGCTCTCACTTTTTACAGCTCTAGACGAGCACTCACCATTGAAGGACATTTTTATGTTATACGGTTGATTGTGCTCTCCACATAACTCATTGATTGAGGATGTCATGAAGGTGAGACTGATTGGTGGTGATTAGGTGCAACACTTAACGATCCCATGTCCTTTCATAGCTATAAAAGTGCGTGTGTAGTCTCTCTCTTTGTCTCTGTGTTTCCGTATAGCAGGTGATTTAGTGACAGTGTTAAGTAGACAAATGGAGCATATAGCCCCTGGACCCTCGGCGTCTATTAACCTTCATTTGTGTAACACACATGCAGGCAATTTGTTAATCTGTCCTTCCTTATTGTTGCTCTCTGCCCGTCTGAATTCACTAGATTGGTTCTGTAAAGTAGAAGAACTGTGTGTGTGTGAGTATTTGTGGACTCAGCAGGATCATTTCAGTCATGCTAAAAGTAAAGGCTTTTCATTTTGGGTTATGGTATATCTGCAGAGAAAATGATTACCTCATGGTTTTCCAAATGCTGTGCAACAGAAGAATAACTCATGTCAGGGAGGAGGAGGAGCGTGGCAGTCTGTCAGAGGGCGAATGGATGTAGAGAGAGAAGGAGGGGGAAAGATGGAGTTTAGGGGCTGCCATTTGGCGGTGATCCAGGAGGAAGCAGGAAAGTAGAGCGAGAGAAGAGAGGAAAAGGGGGAGTGTGGTAGTCTGTAAGAAGTAGGAATGGATGGAAAGATAAAGAAGAGAGGAGAGGAAGGGTAAGGTATTGCCTTTTTGGCAGGCGGGACTGTTAATGTGGCCATCTGGAAGGGGGGGGTGACGGTGGAGGAGAAGAGCGGAGTACATGGAGAGCAGGGAGGGTTGAGGAGAGGAGGAAGGAGGAAGACGTGATGTGCTCTACTGCAGCACAGTGGAGGGTGGGGTCTCACAGTGAGTCAAAGCACGTCTGGTGCACAAATGAGTGCCCCCCCCCACTCCCACTCTTTCTCCTTATTACCCCCTCTTCTAACACCCACACACACACGCACACACACACCTCCAAAGAGCTGTCAGACCTCCAGCAGTGTGCACAAGACCTGTGTGTCTTTTTCTAGCTCTACCTTCCTGTTTCTCTTTGACTTTTTTTTTTTAAAGTCTCGCACATGCTCGCACGCGCTGCCCTCTGAGTGTTGAAAAACTGAGACAAGAAAGTGATGGAGGAGAGAGAGAGAGAGTCGTAGCGGTAATTGAATTTTCCTGCAGAGGGGCGTGTGCCTTCGTCTGCAAGCTCTCTGCCAAATTTTGCTGAAAGATTTGCCGGATTTTATGGATGTGTGTGTGAGAGAGATAGTGAGAGTGGTCATTATTTTTACTGGCAGTTTGGACAATTGCACCATAACTGTCAGCACACATTAATGTCTCAATAGAGCCAGACATGAAGGTGTAAAGTTGTACAATAAAAACACTTGTGTTGCTCAGATGTAGGCCATTTCTGATTGTGTACCTGTGTTGAATGGACACTTGTGATGTTTGTCCAGAAAGAGGTTACTTTGATTATCTGTTTGCTCAGCTGTATTGTGCTTTCCTATAGATGCCTTTCATCAAGGGCACACACACACACACACACTCATGCAGCCGTACAACAGTAGTGAGTATAAATACTGATGCTTCTGTTAGATAGTGTGCACAAGTGTACTGCAGCTTTTTATGACCAGTGTGTGCCATTTCCACAGCCTTATAAGGTGTGTCTGTCACCGTGAGTGGTTTAGACTTGCGCTTGTGCACACACACGCACACACACACCCCAAAGGTCTTTGTGTAGGGATAATGGATAGCACATGGCTTTTAAATCCATGCTGTAGTGTCAACAGTAGTGGATACGAGAACAGTCTGTAGATATGAAAGCAGTGGCTCCATGTACTGTCTGTCTGTCTTCTTCTCTGTCTCTGGGGCACACACTCATATGCACATCCACATACATGCACACACGCATGTTAGACTTGAAGGTCCTATTGGAAACAGTGCAGTGAGAAAACAGTGACACAGACAAACCTACAGCGAGGAACAATACACCTGGTAAAAAAAAAAATATATATATATATATATATATGTAAGTTTCAGTCCGCAAAAATAGTAATCACACGTCTTTTCACTTTATAAAAATGATATGCTTCTAGAGGGAAGCTGAAGACCACGTTTCACTTTTTTTCCCATTCAGATCAGAATAATTGTGCCACTCATGTCTGTGTTTTAATTACTAGCTAGCTTAGCAAAATGGAAATGATGTGGCTCTATCCAAAGTTAAGAGATCCACCTACTAGCAGCTTTAAAGCTCACTAATTAACATGTTACTTCGTGCTTGTTTAATCTGTACATAAACAGAAATGTAAAAACAATATGTTGTGATTCTACAGGGAAATACACATAAATACTATACAATACTATTATTATACTACTGCTATAATAGTAGCTTTTACATTCCACTATATAGGCATACCAAATTGTGATCCATGTTTCTATAATATGTTTTTTTTAGTGCAGATGTTTGAATGTAGACAAATGTCCTAATGAAACATAAATTAAGACCAGTATTATTTGTCACCGTTTAAATTCATGTGGCACACACACACTTACACACCTACGCAAGCTTCTTAACTACATTCAAGATTTAGGGGTTTTATGTAAATGTGTTCAGAAAAGCTTCAATCATAGAACAAGCTCAGTGGGTTTTCATGAAGATCATGTTTTCTGGATCGCCAGCTCCAGTCTAAGCTGCTTTGGCCTGTCTCACCCTCTGTCTGTCTCTCTGTCAGTCAGTCCAGCTGTCAGCCAGACCAGCTACTGTGCCTCTGGAGGAGAATGCGTGCAATGCCAAATATCTGACAATATCCTGAAGATGCAGGAATTCAAAACAGTGTCTGCAGACTGTTTCATAGACAATATTCAATATCAGACAGTGTGGCAGCTCTGTGTTCCAGCACCAATCCAAACAGTCCTGTTTACCCATGTAATACACTACAGCTGTAGCATTCTGTGTAGCATATGTCACTATACAGGTCAGTACCAGTCAGTACCAGTCTACAACATCTGTTCAGCTTACATTAGTTACATTAAGTTGATTAATTGCTTATTTAGCAAAAACAAAAACAATCTTGAACGATATTGAGAATTGATTAATCTTTTTACTCTGTCTCTGAAGCTAAAATACCAAATATTTTCTGGTTCCATCTTCTCAAATGTGTTTTTCATAGACACAATTTGAACACATTACCTTGGTCTCTGGGAAATTGCGAAGGGCACAATAGATGAATCAGTAATGAGAATAGTCGTTAATTATAGTCTTAGTCAGATCAGAAGGATGAGCGTTTGGTCTAAAGAGTGCAACAATGTTACATTCCTTTCAGAAATGATCTAGTTTGCTGTGTTTCGTTTTAACTGTCATGATGAAAGACTAATGAATGACATATGCTGACATCAGGTGACACTTCACACACTCAGTTTATATAAGTTTCTCAGCACTTATTTCCATGAGGAGTTTGTTTCTTACAGCCATGTTTCTTCTGTACACGCTGTCTGTTTTGACTGGCAGAAGAACATGTGGTGCAGACGTTGAGCACCAGTAGCAGTACAGAGTCGTAGCGCTGGATCACTTGTTGGTTTCTTGGGGAAACACTTGGTCACACTGGCCATTACACGAGGCGGTTATGAATAGAAGTCTGTGCTTGTTTGTGTCTGTTGGTTTGAGTCTCCTGGATCATGGAGCACCTGACTTTAGGAGTTTGTTCAGTCAGCTTGGACTTGAAGAGAGATGTTTAGGTAAGCAACAAGCACACGCAAGTACACACACAGTGCGTAAATGTTTTTGAGTGGACCTGTGGTGTGACAGGAAAGGGAAGGGGAGGTCTGTTGGTCTGACCAGCCTGGAATTGGATTAGAAAGGCCAGGAGAATGTCAAGCTTTGTGTAGGTGTTGATGGCTGTTAAAAACACTCACTTGTAGTGAAGGATTCGTAATTAGGTCATGTGTACGGTATGAAAGTAGTTCTGTACAGATGTATAAGTGTGTAAAGTGCTTTCAGATGTCATGAGGCAAGAGGGGCTGGACAATTGATGATCACAAACTATGATTCTCAGCAGCTTTCTTGTATCCACAAAACTTCCTCAGGCGACATAACAAGACAGCATGATGGATTTACTGTGGGTACAGTAACTTCAACACATATTGAGCTAACATGCGTCCTTTCTTACACAGCAAACAATTAAACAGTGGCTTTACTGAGCTCCGGATGAAGTTAATAAACACAAATCCACACAGAAGAAACAAAGTTAGTGTGACACCATGGAAAACCAAGAGAGGTGTGAGAAGAAGATTGCAGGCTGTATATCTTTAATAGTGGACAATATGGATGAAACCCTGTATTAAAACATATACTGTAAAATAAATATAAGCAGTGTCCCAAATAGACGCATGTCTCCTTTACTAGCCTGATGTGGCTACATGTTTTGACAAATATATGCAGGTCTCCATTACAGGCCTGGTCTGGATTTTATAGAAATTATCTGGATGTATAAAACTTCCTAAAGCCCACCGGGCCCCCTGCTTCAGTGAGTTTTAAGTCGTTTTAGATCGCCTACACATATATAAATGTTCAAACCTTTGTCAATATGGACATGCTACACATTACAACACACAAATTAGACAAGTTCAGTTCTCCACAATACAACTGTTGGGTTAATTTTATGGAAACTATGAGCACCAAAGTATAATTCATTCAGACTTTTGCCATGAGAGACGGAAAAGACAATCTGCAACACCCTCAGTTTGAGTACAGCTGGATACCTTTGTTGCATATTGTTCCTCTGTCTATCTTAATTTTCTGTAATCTCTTTACTGTTTTAAAATTAAAAAACGTCACATGGCAAAATCTGATTATAGACAAATTTATATTCTATATGTAACATCATGTTTCCCAACTCCAATCCTTTAGGTAATGCTTCTGATTTCCCTCCAGTGCACCAAGATTTTGACTTCCTCATTATAGGTTGCAGCGTATTTTTCTTTTAGAACCCCTGCCCAGGGCGTGATGGTAGCTCTTCTGGTAGAGCTGGAGGCACATGTACCAAGGCTGAGTCTTTGCTGCAGCGGGTTTGAGTCCGACCTGTGGCCCTTTGCTTACAAGAGTTATATATAAGAGTATTTTTTTCTTGAATGAAAACATCTGTTTCAACCATTTTTGGTAACTTTGCACTTCAAAAAAACTGCAGAAGCACAGAGAGGCACTAACATGAAAATATAAAGTTAGGCCTTTAGTTGTCAGTTTCATGCTTTCGGAAAGAAGTGGGAGAGTAAAAGGCAACCCTTACAACGCTGCTGTATGTCTCCACAGAGTTCCCACCTGGCGCTCATAGATACCCTGATGATGGCGTATACTGTGGAGATGGTGAGTGTGGAGAGGGTGATGTCCTGCATCAACAGGTACTCCTCCGCTGAACCCTCACATAGTGACGGACATATCCAGGAGCTGCCTTATGATACCGAGGATGCAATCATCACCTGGATCAACAAGGTACACATACACACAGGAGCGTGTTCGTGTGCACACAAAGCCAACCACAAGGACATGTGCTCTCTCATTTCAGAGGATAACAACTGTACACATACTTGAGCCTTTTACAACGGAGGACACACAGTTCTTTGTTTCACTCCGGATATAGAAGACACGAGAGGTGCTGGAAAGTGTGTCAGTGCTCAATTCCTCCACTGCTGGTTCAAGCTCTAATATGTTCGCTAGATGAAGACCTGGCACCAACCATATGTAATCATGTCAGAGATTATCAAGAGATAACTTGGGAGAATTGGGAGAGTAAAGTCAGACCTCGACTGGGCTGTAAGATTTTAAGAGGGCAGTAGTTAAGTCTCTGTGATTGCATCTTTAGTTTTATTATCTTACAGATTATTTAATCACTTGAAGTTGCTTTCACTGACCTTGCAGGAGATTTTTTGCCGCAAAACACGACCATGACCTAATTTTACTTTGTTTAAAATAATGAAACAAGTTCCAGCATGGCATGAATTAATCAATTAAACGTACAATGATCACTAACATTCCTTGCTGAACAAGCTCATGTGCTTGCTGCTCATTTTCCAGTCCGAAGGCAAGATGATAACAATGTAGGATTTATTTACAGACACACATTAAAAAAAAAAAAGACCCTTGTCTCTCTGTGTTGCTCTGAGATATGGCACGCCATGTTGGGATTGGCTGATGTGACCTTGTGCATCCTCAGGCCAAAATGTTACATCACTGTTTGTACACAGCCTTTGAAGACAAAAAAGCAGTAATTATAAAAAAGAGAAATACTATCATTATAGTAATCCTTGAAGTTATTTATACATTGTGTTGGAAGTCAGCTGAGTGCTGTATATTAAGTTTCAATAACATTTAGCATCAGTGACTAATGGGCAGTGGTGGTGAAAAGTTTTTTTATTTGATGTGTGGAGCCTCTGTTTCATGTTCAAGTTCCTCCTCTCTCCAACAGACTCACCATTCAGTCTCTCAGTGTGCACAAAATGCTTGTCTGAAATTTGACCTTCATCTCTCTCTGCCGGTCTCTCTCTCTCTCTCTCTCTCTCTCTCTCCAGGTGAATGAACACCTGAGGGACATCCTTGTCGAAGAGCAAAAGCTGAGAGAGGCTTCCTTCCAGGACTCAAATGCAACAACACAGAAAGTAAGAACACACACACATACACACACACTGTCACACAAACTCTCCTCTGTCAGGTATCTAAATAACAGGATGTTTAAAGGACATCTTGTCTTTGTTTTTAGTAAAATGAAATTATATATATATTCCTACCAGCACCAAATCTCACTAACACTTAATATCCCCTTTATTCAATCTGCACACCAACTGGAATGTAAAAAGGACAATTTGTGGTTTTAGAAGGAGTTACTGTCACTGCGCCCAGCTATTGTTTCCTTACAAATAGTTACAGTACGTAACCCCCGAAATCACAAATTACAGTGATGACATCACTGTACTTATTTGCTTCCCTGCTAAGAGTTAAATGAAAAAAGATTGATACCACACTCTCATATATGTGGGATAAGTACAGAGCTGGAGCCAGGGGAATATTAGCTTAGCTTAGCAGAAAGACAAAAATAAATAGTAAGCCTTAATAGTAAGTTTGAAAATACACCTACCAGCATCGCTAAAGTTCACTAAGTAACAGGTTGTACCTCTCATTACCCTTTACAAGAGCAGTGTTAAAACAACAATCGTGGCTTTAGAGGGATTAGTATTACTTGGGGAACAAGTGACTTCCCTGAGTCTTGTCATCGCCAAGCAACCAGACGAGATGCTACACAGGAGTGCCTGGCAGATGTCTGTTGTTTATCAGTAAATAGATACACAACGCATCCCTGTAAAACCTCAAATTGTTGATTTTACATCTTGGCTTGTGTACGAATTAAAGAGAAAGAGATATGGCATGTTGATTAGTGAGCTTTGAGGTGTTGGGAGGTTTGAACTTTATAGCCAGGATTGCTGTTTCCTCTGTCTCCAGTCTTTGGGCTAAGGTAAGCTAATATGGTGACTCCAGCTCTGTATATGAGAGCATCAATCATCTCCACTAACGCTTGGCAAGAAAGCAAACAAGTATATTTCCCAAAATGTTGAAAATGTCTTGATCTAATTTGCTTTTGTTTTAAGTTTTATGTCCTGCTTCTCATACTTTTGTTTTGTCTCTCATCTGTCAATATTAGATTTCAAATATTTCCTTGTAAGCATTAGCACATGTCTGCATCCACACAACACACACACATGATATGTACACACACACACAGGGCACAGTACACAGAGCTCTGTAAATCAGAGGAACAGATGAGCTCAGTCTCAGACCAGCTGCAGAAAAATGTTGGCAGGAATCGCGACACTGCTGTTCGAGGAGACAAAGAAATGTGCGGGGCGGAGGAAGAGAGAAAGGGTGACAGACAGACAGAGAAGAAAAGTGAGGAGGAATAATCAGAGAGAGGGGAATGGGACAAATGACACCAGGGTGGAGGACATGGAGAGAGACACTCAGGAACTTTGTCAGCTGTAGCAAAAGAGAGTCAGTGACAGACAGAGACAGTGTTGTCATCCTGCAGGCCCTGTAGTTATGTAAGGTCCATGTGACACAACGAGTCAGTCCACAGGGATACAGCAGTCAGCTACCGTCCTCTTTACCCACTTAACCATGAAGCTACTGCACTGTGCCTTATCAGGTCACGACCTTTGCCTCAGGTCGGTGTTCTGAAGCAATGACAAGAGGTTAAAAGATGGAAAAGAAATATGTCACTCTTTTCAACTAATGGGAATCAGTATTTAAACTTCCTGCAACTCAATATCAACTCAAAGAGGTAAAACTCTGCTTAAAACTGTGAAAATGTAAATACCAGTTGTACTGCCATGGAGTAAACGTGTGTGTTAACAAAGATAGCTTCAGCTAGCCTTTGTCTTGAGTCAACAAACCGCATGTTCACCTCAGGAACTTTCCCCGGGCACTAAGGAACCTTTGGAGCAACTCAGTGTGTTTCCTCCACAGGGACCAGGATCTAAATTAAGTATCTGCTCAGGGGGGGCAGTACTTTAGAAAAGTACACGAACTTTGGTGATGGAACTGAACGTGTCTGATTGGTCGAGTACTCACAGTTATTTCAGCTACCATATTTAAACATCTGCAGCTGCTAAACAGTTTTTTTTTGTTGTTAATTTTGCTTTCACACGCCAACGGTTACAGAAAGTAAAGCAAAGCATTGTAACTGTATAGTTGCCTGGCAAAATAACAAGTAAAAACAGCCATCGTTTTTCATACATTAATGGGCTATTTTGGCTCATTTTCGTGGGTCTTTAGGCCCCAGTGGAAACAGACAACAATGGTTCCTGGGAGTAAAAGGTGCTGGTACTTTGGTCAGAAACACAGCTTAAAAGTCTAGTGAAATTGTACTTTTGCTAGCATGGCAACATGCTCACAGTGACAGTGTAACATGCTGATAGCAGTAATGTTTATGTTCACCATCCTGTTAGCATTTTAACACTTTCTACATTAGTGCTAAGCATTTGTGATGGAGGTGTCAGTAGTTTTATAGGTATTTCGTCATAAACCAAAGTGTTGGACAAACTGAAAATGTAACCTGATGATGGTGCAAGATGAAAAGTCTTGGTATTACCAAAGTTTTTAAAAAAATCATCCTGATATGTGATTTTCTGTACCCTTAATTTCATGGAAATCCATCCAATGGTTGTTGAGACATTTCACTCAAAACCAAATTTCGACCTCATAGAGGTGCTATAGGAAAAATCAGGTAGTGAGTAGGATTCATCGTCTGTCCATGAAAAATATTTAATAGCAATCCATCCAATAGTTGTTGAGATATTTCAGTCTGAACCAAAGTGGTGGACAGTCTGACATTTTGCCACACATTGCAAGCTGACCAAAAACACCTTATCATAGATTTAACTGTTTACATACAACAGCAGAGTCACCTTAAAGAGCTGCAGGATGTTCAGACATTTAGGAGGAGCTTTTATCTGCTGTAGGAGTTTCTTGGCAAATCTTCTCTCGCTCATTGTCGGTTTTTGTGTTGGTGTGGTGAGAGTGACCACTGCCTCACTGACATGACTCTGTAAGCTGATAATACACATAGGGTATGTGACATATCCCAAACTGACTCACATAGACACAAAGGCAACCAGTTACAGTGAGGGAAGAAGAGGGTTCTTTTTAAAGAGTGTGAGGGAGACTTTGTGTCAGTCAGCTGCTTTCTTACTCCATGCTCCATCACACAGCTCCCTCTCTGCATTATCAGCTTCATCAGAAGTCTATTCACTGACTAGTACAAACTCGGGAGATAATTTCACACATATACACACATGCCTACGCGAACACATACACACACAAACACACTTTAATGGATGAGTACAAGACACTTCTCAGTAAGTCTTGTCTATTCTGGGACGGTGTGAAAAATCTTTAACTCTGGTCTTGTGACTCAATGCTCAGCATTTTTGTGTGTGGATTTTGTGTTTGTGCTTATCATAGGTGTTTTACTTGCATAAGACTGAGTGGAAAGTCAGACTAACAGATGTGTTAATTAATCAGGAGCTCCTACACTCATAAAATCTTTGTAGCTTTTATTACATCTACCATGGAGGTTAGATCCTGTTTTTTAAATGTTTGTTAGATTGCAACATATCTCAAAAACTTTTCAACAGATTTCAATAAAATTTTGTGGAATGTTTGGACAGAGGCCAAGTAATGAGTGATTACCTTTTAGTGCAGATCCACGTTTTGCAAAGGGTTTTCTAACAGTACAAGACAGATTGTTTTGAATGTTCTTGCTATTTTACTGCATATAATTTAATTTAAAAATAATCTGTGCTGTGGAACAGGCTTGTGAACATGTCTGAACAGTGACTCACTGGAAAGTTTTAGTCTTAGATTAGAACATTTTGCATGGACATCCCTGAACTTGTGAAATGAAATCTGTATTTTGTATATTTTATTTATTCAACAAAGTAGCTCTATGGATAGCAATGTTGGTCCAATGCTTTAGTCCCAGCTGAAATACCTCAATGACGATAGATCCAATAATTGGATGGTTTGCTACGAAATTTTGTGCAGATATTTGTGTTCCCCAAAGGATTCTGGGAATGTAGACTTTGGGGACTCCCTTAGTTTTCCTCTAGCACCATTTATTTTTCTCCAAAACTTACTTACTATAAATATACTATAAAACTCCCATCCCACATCTGTATATTTTATGTTTTAGTGCTATTAGCAAATGCTAGCATGCTAATGAACAAAACTAAGATGGTGAACATTATACCTGCTGAACATCAGCATATTGGCATTGTTGTTGAGCATATGTTAGCGTTTTGATGTTAGTGGTTAGCCCAAAGTACAGCCTCACAGAGACGCTAGCATAGCCTCAATGTACTGTGTAACTGTAGTAGAGCCTTATCAGAGAGAGGATCACACAGTTGTGAGGATGACATAACCATTAACTACAGAAACAGGTAAGTTAATGAACCCACTTAAAGGATCAGCTGTGTTTGTGATATGATTTAGACTGTCGCTAGACTGAAGACAAAGCCCATTTGTATTGCTCCTTATGTGATGATTTAAGGGCAATTCTCTAATGACTTTTAGTGGTTGGGTGATTATAAAAGACTTGAGTTTTAGGAAAGCACCTTTTGTGTTAATTTTTAATTGGGAGGGAAGACACAGCTCTTTGTTTGTAATGTAATGTACGAAGTTAAGTTATTTTCTGGCAAATTTAAGTGCATGAGAAAACTAAACAACTACCACAACTACTCTGTCAGATCAATCCAAGTATTGTCTCTCACTGTGTATTTTCATACAGATCCAGGTGTATATTAGAAATGTTTTTAAAATATGCCAGATTTTGAGTATTTTTCAGCTTTTGCAGAGGTGTAACATGCACTCTAGGAGTTCTTTCTAGTGTCAAGAGAGGGTTTGTCCCCCATACTCCAAGTAGCAAAACGTTTTGCTTGCTGTTGGCCTAACGCCTCTCCCACTCTCTCCTGTTGTTGTCCAATCATCATCCACCATCAAGTCTCCTAGCAAATGGTACTGGAGATTAGTACCTGTAAGTCCATCCATTCTGAAGAACTCCTCTTCACCAACCACCACCATCTACCTCCTCTCTGTCTAACCCGAACCTGCAAGGATACACCCATTCACATTTCCCCCCAAAGTATCTTGTCATTGCATGTGGCCCTGAGCCCCATCATGCATTGGTCAGACCCCTCCCACCCTCTCCTTTTCCCCAGCCCTTGTCTCCACATTCCTAGGAATCTGATTAACTGATATAGTAGTCATTTTACACTGCATCACTCTCAGAGTGATGAAAACTCTACCTAGTAGAGCAAGCACAGTCCTGTAGCATGATCATATAAATACCCAGAATGTATCATTTGTAACACTGATCAACATATCAGAAACTAAAGCCACTGCCCCAGTTGACATCCCATTCCCTTGTTTGATATGGCATGTTGTCTGTGTCATGCATTAAAAACAAGGGGCAAGTTGCGTTTTTCTCCTGTTGAATGGGTTTAAGTTGGCTGCTGTCAGAGACGTACTGTGTTACCTCTTTGTACAAACCAAAATGAACGATGGACGACATTTTGTTCTTCAGAGCTTGATGCACAAACTGAGAGGCTGTCAAAAAGTCAGAGCCACTGTGATTAAAGCTTCCATCATTTTGCTTGTAAAATGCATACGTGACACCACTCATTGTTTGTTTATGGGCAAACTGGGAGTGACCTGAAGACATATGTAGCAGTTTTGTCTGTGGTTTTTACAGGCCCAGAGAGGCGTTCAAAAAACCTGGACGGCTGTGCTAATGCATATTATTATTAACATTTAAATTACATGCATTGTCTGCTATAGCACAGTGGAGGATTATATAATCCCCCCCTCAGATGTATGAAGCTGATAACAATTCATTTGCTATATGCATTTGGTTCCCCTTCACCTTTTAGAGAACTAACTACTCCTCACAAGAAATCAAATGGGAGCAAAGTAGTGCTACGATTGCATCTTTTTTTATCCATTTATATGTAAGATGACTATCTAATCCTAGATGTTGTGTTTGATTATTTGCATGATCAGTTTAATCTGCATTATTTAAGTTGTGCTTGAAGCCCACCCTATGCTTGAAATTCCTCAAATTAACACCTATTTGTCTGTGAGTGAGTGTGTGTGATTGAGTTGTGTGTGCACACTGGTGCATGCAGATAAAAGTGTGTCTGCGCCAACAGCCAGAGAGCCAACTGTACACATCCACACCAATGACACATATAGGTGATGTCTTTGTGCTGTTGCCATGGTTTCAGGCTCGCTACAGGAAGGAGCATGCTCAGCAGAGGAGCGCACCATCGCTCCCCCTGGTGGAGAACCTGCTGAAGGACAACACAGACGGCTGTGCCCTGACCACCCTGCTGCACTTCTACTGCTCACAGGCCATCAGACTGGAAGGTGGGACCAACCCTCAATCTGTAACCACACCTACCTGACCTCACTAGCCACACCCCCTTTTAGTAAATATTACAGTAAACAGACAAGACTAAAGTCAGTTCAGTGTCAGTCAAATGGCATACAATGAGCTAACCACAATGAGTTTCAGTCCCAGCACAAAGGATGCTCTTTTCTGCTCTCACTGCTCTAACTATAACCATACATTTGAAGAGGGCGCTTCAAACAAAGAGCGTACTTATTATCAATTAGTGTGGTTTTATGAGGGCTTTTTGCCTTATGAATATGACAAATAATATACAAACAATGATAGTTTAGTAGCCTCTTTCAGAAAATGTTTTATAGTTTTCAGTGGCCTAAACTCTAATCCTAATCTCAAAGAACCACGTAATGGAGAGATAAAGGACGTGTTTTGGCTTGCTGTTGTTTCATTTAATGTTATAAATGGAGGACCCTGTTCAGGATATTGAAGGACACTGCGAGGCAGACAGGATTCAGGACAAACAAGGAAAATTAGTGCAAGAAACGAAAAGAAACAAAGACTTGTTTCCTCTCAGCTCGCCCGCGCCCTCATTTCCAAAAATGCCCTGGGTTGGGTTGTGATTGGTCACGAGGGGTATGTGACGGAGAACCGTTAGAGGAGGATCTGGCTGCTATTTCAAAGATAAACAACTCTTGTGTCATTGCTCTGAGACTCTCAGGATTGAATGTAGTTCACAGGGAGCTCATACACATGTCGGCCAGATGTGGAAGCGAGTTAAACTTAATTTAGTTCTGCTTGCTGGCGGCTTTATTTAGTCTGAAAGTAATAAAAAGGTACAGTAAAGTGAAGAATGACATCATGTTTTGTTCTCTGTCCCTGAACTTGTTAGATATTATTTACATGCATGGGCCGGCCTTACACTAACGTCAGGGGATAAAAATCCTGATGATTCATCTAGAAGGAGTTGAAGGCGGTTTGAAAACTTATGTGTCATGAATTGTTTCAAGGAATTGGAGGGATTTAAATCTAGCTACTGCTCCTGCATGGCACAAATACTAGTGGGAAAAGTAGGGTAATTTTCCTCTCATCTGTTCTTTTTTTAAACATAAACTATGCCTTATCTTTTCCTCGCCTTCCTGCTTGGCCTTTGCTATCGCCCCCTCCGTTGTGTGTGTGCCTGACCCCTCCCCTGGCTGTGCAGATATCTGCCTCAAGGAGACCATGTCTTTGGCTGACAGTCTGTACAACCTCCAGCTGGTGCAGGAGTTCTGCAGGAACAACCTCAACCACTGCTGCCACTTCAGCCTGGAGGACATGCTCTATGCACATGCATCCATAAAGGTAGGGAAGCAGGCTTTCAAATATATGAATACATGAGAAATGTGTGTGGAGGATGTGGAAAGATGCTATTTTTATAATGCGGATTGAGTTAAGGAAAGAGAGAAAAGAAAAGTGTTTTGGGGAATAAGGAGAGTTATAGCTGAAAATTACAAATAGGCAAAAATGAGTCATGCAAGGAAAAAGTTTGGTGTGTGTAAGCGGACTTAGTTCTCACAGGGGTCGTTGTGTGTGTGTGTGTGTGTGTGTGTGTGTGTGGATGTATTAGCAGGGACATAAAGATCATTTTGCTACAGTGAGTATAGCTTGGCTGCCAGATTTAATGAATATGATATGTGTGTGTGTGTGTTGGTGCTTTTCTAGTACAGACACTGCGGGCCAAATACCCCCCCCCCTCCCTCTCAGACAGAGGACAGATTCTGCTCCGAGGAGATTCAGAACCCAGACCCATCTCTGCCTGCCTCTCTTGTTCTCTCCCCTTCCACATCTTTTCTGTTTTTTATCAGATAACAAAATCTGTGAACTTAAGAGATAACACCACTGCTGATTCACTCGGTCCTCAGGCTTAGATCTCCCCGTTTCACACACATTTGTTTCTGATTAATGAAAGACTTACTGTACAGCTTTAAGAGCATCTCTGTGCTATCCGGACCTTAGATACAGCAGAGCCAGTGTGGGTACATAGTATGCGGAGAGCGTGGGTAGAAACATTCGGATTCAAGTCACGGGCTGAGCTGACCAGGATTTTCCATTCTTCAAAACAACACAGCAGACGGTTTTCACACTTGTACACTATTTGCTCTGTATTTCTCTCTTCCTTTTATATTGTTTATAGTGAGCGTGTTTTTGACTTTATAGTACTACAGTTGTCCAAGCAGGCAAAGGAGGAGAGAAAAATGGTCGTGAAGAGCAGTTAAAAACACTGGCACAATGCCCATTCACCGCAGACTCACTGCCCACTGAATCTTAACTAGTGTGTGTGCATGTGGCTATTTATTTAACACAAATGTTGTTTAGGTTATTAAGAACTTGATTCTGCTGTGTCTAAAATGAAGAGCCAGTTCATAGGAAAGAACAGGAAAATCCCTGTTTTTTTTTGGTTTTTGTCTTTCTATTTCTGCTGGAAAGTAAGGTCTGTGTGTGTTAGCCAAAAGGTTTCCTACAGATGAAATCATCTGTACAGGCCTCCAGAGACTTTCTGTTTATAACATGATGCATTTATCATTGATGTGGGTTACTCACTCGCTGCTTTGTGCATCCACTTGTGCATATGTGACATATTTAAACTGAACTCCAGATGGTGTTTTTGGCAGTTTTCACAAGGCGTATGGGTTTGACATTAAACCACTTAGACAATGAAACATGTACTGATATTCAACTACACAACACCTGAGCCTGTTACCTAGCAACAGCTGGCAGGCTGTGACCTCATTGATCTATGAAAATGCTGTATAATATTGTGATTGTCACTTACATAACATCTTAACTGAGACATGGGTGGAAGGGGCAAAGAGAGAAATGTTGTGCTAATAACATTAATGAATAACTACTTACACGATAGCAACATTAACCACAAATGTGTGTGTTGTGTGTGTGTGTGTGTGGTTTTGCAGAGTAACTACCTGGTGTTTATGGCTGAACTTTTCTGGTGGTTTGAAGTGGTTAAACCTTCATTTGTACAGCCCAGAGTCTTCAACCCAAACGGTACAGTACAACTTCACAATAATATCAGCATGCTGTTATTAATCTGACCATGTTATGCTTTTATTAACTCTAATAACTAACTTGCAGTTGGTTGCAGTTGAAGGTTGAGTTTTTGTCATATGTTCCCTCTGCAGTCTGCGAGCCTGTATCATCCTGTAGAAATATGGCTCCTGTGTCCAGTCCAGTCAAACAGAGATATGCAGACAGACCTGACAGCCCAGAGCACATCCCTGCAGAGGGTAAATATCCGTTATCAATCGGGGATGTGCACAAATCTGTTCAGATAAATGTACATACAGTATGTGTCCACCAAGGCAATAGCTTAGTTATTATAAAATTGCTCACACATTGATTATGCAGGTGGAGATGTCCTTCCCTTGTAAATACAACTGGTGCTTTGGTATCACTATTATGTTTCTTGTTGGTCTTCTACTTTCTTAAATTTGCCCTTATATACTTTTGTGGTGCTTTAAAAAGAAAAAAAGATATAATCAATACTATTAGCAGTTTCCTGGGGCATGAATACAGGGAACTGGAATTATGTGTGCATGTGTTTTGTTTTGAAACCAGTGGCCCTCTAGTGGCTGATTTACAGTCAAGCAGCAATTCTTCTACTCTCTTATTGCATTTGAGCCCTATAACTAAATTGCTGTTATTAATTATACAGTATAATTAATCTAGGAAAAATCTAACCAGGAATAAATAGCCAGAAGCTGTGGTGTGGGTTGGACGATTCAGATCTTCAGAATAGCTTAGAAAATCTGGGCCAGGTACTCTGTGTACATGTGTAAGCACACAGCTCCTGAAACCAATGCACTCCACTGCAACATTTGTTGTTGACAAACATCTGTAACAGGTATAATGAAGAGATCTACCTCCATGTCCTACGTGGATGGCTGCATTGGAACATGGCCCAAAGAGAAACGGTTAGTATCTTATCTATCTAGTAGTATCTGCTAGAGCCGACAACATTCATTGACTTACAAATGTGAAGTGGTCTGTTGTTTTCCTATTAAACTGACAATACATTTCCTTCCTCCTTCAGCTCCTCCTCTCGTGGAATCTCCTTTGAGATTCCTCTGGACGGAGACCCGCATTGTGAAGCTCCCTCCCTCCGCGGTATGACTCGCTCTGCCAGCAGTGATGGTCTTGGCTTCAAAGTTCACTTTGCATCTCGAGGGGGCATTAAGCGCCACCTGTCTCTCATGCCCGTCAATGTAAACGGCCAAAGCAGACACATACCAGAGGAGGATGAGGACTTTACCTCCCACAAACCCCTGGGGAGGAACAACACATTCTCAGTCAAGAACCAAAGCAGGTAAGGCAGAGGGAAATGCTAGTTTGTGATTTTCTGTTGGGGATTGGGGGATTATTCATACATGAGATAAATTAATATATGGCTTTTTATAACTCTGTGTACATTTTGAAACTATGTTCTATATGTTCTAAGCTATGTGAGATTTGTTGGAAAGTAGTAGAGTTTTTATTTATGTGGCTTTTTTTGTTTCAAGTTTAAGTTTTTCTTTATCTATATGTTATTTAAGGCATTTGAGACCCCTTTGAGACACCTAATATTTTCCGCAGTGGTTAAATGCTGAATTCATCTGCTGTAAATGTTTCAAGCTAAGCAAAGCTAATCTTACAGTTGAAAATATATACTGTATAAAGAGGCACACAGATATAAGGGCATCCAGCAGCTGACTCTGGATAGGTGAAGTAAGGGAAATAGTAAAAATCCCCCAAAGCTGACTATTACTTAAAATAACCATCACTTAATTTATACAAACCTGTCCCTAGGTACTCCAATGGAGTCCTCACAGACAGCGACCACAGCCCCAGCAATCACCATGGCAACCACAGCGGGCACATCAGCCCATCAACTCCTCCGAGCATTGAGGAGGCCCTGAAGATTATCCACGACACTGAAAGGCCCCATGCCAGCCTGGGCGTGGGGGATGGAGACAATGGGTTCTTTCTCCACAGCGGGGAGCCTTCAGACCCTCCAGGGGCCCAAGGTGAAGGAGATGACCCAGGTTCGGCTAAGGCTCGGCTGAATGACCACGACCCCAACTCCGTGTCCACTGATGAAGTTGACACGGGCATCCATGTGAGGACAGAGGACATCCAGAGCTTGGATGAAGACTCCTCCTCTCTGAGAGACTATTCAGACATAGACCCAGACTGCGATGCCGTGACTCGGTCGTGCCCCCTGTCTGAACGGCCGGATAGGGAGAGAAACAGGGAAGAAGGACAGAAAGGGGTCGGTGATGCTAACCCTGAGGGTGAGAGGGTAGATGGAGGTGACAGGAGCAGCCCCTGTCCCAGTTCAGCACCCACACTCCCCAGATCCCACACAGCCAGCCCCACCTCGTCGTCTGGAGGCTCTGGAGGCGGCATGGTCCGAATGACGAGCTTTGCAGAGCAGAAGTTCAGGAAACTGGAGGGACGGAGTAGCGGAGGAACCACACCAGAGAGTTCAGATCTCAATGTGCCGTATACACACCCCACAAAAAGCATTTCTTCTCAGGTTTGTGTTGTATGATGTGTCTCTCATTCCCTCCCTTTTATTTAAACTCTACTTTGGTTGCAGAGGCAGAAATGCGATGTGATGTTGTTGGGGACAGAAATAATGTGAAAATCTTTGCACTTTTTTCTAGATCTCTACACCTCCTTTGCCAATCACATCTCCCTCTCCAGTAACGCCTTCCCCTCGAGACCCATCCCACCTGATTGCCTCAGAGATGATTCAGCTGAGGATGAAGCTTGAAGAGAAACGGAGAGCCATTGAAGCCCAGAAGAAGAAGGTAAACAGAACAGCAAATACAGAAAGATAGCCAGTAGTGTAGCTTTAAATATAAATGTTTGGGACATGATGTTCTCTTTCCATTTTATAGGTGGAAGCAGCTTTCACCCGCCATCGTCAGAAGATGGGCAGGACAGCCTTTCTCAATGTAGTGAGAAGAAAAGGAGTCACTGCCCCCCTCAGCTCCAACTCAGGGGGAGCAGAAACACCTTCTCCAGAGACACCCACACCCTCAAAGGAAACCAGCCAGGGCAGCATGGAGCGGGCGGAGAGATGCAAGCCAGACGGAGCAGCTCCGAAATCCCCCTGTGAGGATGGCGGAGGTGAGTAACCACAGTAGGGATGCAACTAAAGTAAATTTTTTCACAAACCCCAAAATGAGAAAAATAGACTGATGCATATCTTCTCAGAAAGTGTTGAGGCATTGGGAATGATTTTGGTTCAAACTGGTGATTGACTGACTGACTTGTGCATTTAATGTGATGATGCAGGTGTGACTCCTGGAGAAATCGATCTCGCAGATTACACTCGCTCCATTGAGAGGCTGAACACGTCGTTGGGCTTCCTGCAGACGGAGATGCAGCGCTTGGCCCAGCAGCAGGAGAAGATCATGGCCATGAGAGAGCAACAGCAACAAGCCTGGGTCATTCCTCCTCCTGCTCCATCTCCACACAGGTAACACTTAATGATAGATTAATAAATTGACTGTAAAAATGATTTTCTTTGAACACTTACATGGGCTTGTGTGTTTTATTGTCCCCACAGGCAGCTCCGTGAGTTGCGTAGCAGCAGTGTAACAGGCCGGGGATCAGGCCGAGGCTCGGTCGGGTCTTTGTCACCCATCCTTTCTTCTTCCGGCTCTCCCCACGCTCCCAATAGCTCCCCTGCTGGCATTAAGCGGCGACCAGCCTCCTTCCATGCCAGGACACCTCGGACTCCACGACCAAACGATCTGAAGGTCACGCCCTTCAGACGAATGCTTAACACCCCCACCTCAGTGGACAGCCTACCCAGACTGAGACGTTTCACCCCCAGCCAAACCCAGATCAGTTCGTTTGCCTACCTGAGCCACGATGAGGGACCAGGGGGGAGCAAGAACCAAGAGGCCAAGGACAACGAAGAAAACACTAAGGACAAAGAAGAGACAGTGGCAAAGAAGAGTGCTGGCGCTCCTCAGCCTTCTACTAAAGAAGCAGCCAAAGAGAAGGAGGATGAGAGGCAGGAGGAAATAAAACAGGCAGAGGGGGCTCAGTCAAAGGATGAAGTCGATCAAACAGGGTCATCAGAGGTGTTGTGTCAACCGGTGTCTGAGATCCAAGGGCCCACAGGCAACCGGGTCAAGGGAGACCGCCAGGAAAAAAAAGACCTAGTGGAGGTGCCTTTGTCTGGGCTGAAACCTCCAGCAGGAACACCCAGCAGGCAGGAGGTGACGGGAGAAGGAGACGCGGAGGGTGAGGCAGGAGGAGAAGCTTATGGAGACGATCAAAAGATGTGCTGTGGATTCTTCTTCAAGGTTAGCTGAGGCTACAGAATTATATATAGGATCATTTTATAATCACATAAAACATTTCAAATCTTAATGTCAAGAATAATCCATGTAGTTGTTTCTCTAAATATTATCTGTAACCCACCTGTAGGTATGGGCTAAATAGTACACAGGGTTAGCCATAAACTTTAGCCATTAACCTTAGCCATGGACTTAAGAACATAAGTTTGGGCTGCTTTCTGTTTCTTCTCCCATTGTATTACTGCTATTCTGCTTTAGGGCCTATTTTTGTTGAAGTAAAGACTGAGACCTTTCCGCCAGAAAGCGAAGGAGCATATTTTCCAAGATGCTGAACTATTGCTTTACTTCAAATTGCTGCCAAAATGCCAAAGTTTATACACAAAAGACACAGGAGTATCTTGCTACACTGACAGTCCAGAGACCAAGATAAGCTTCTTCTTATTTTGGATTTGACATGCATCACCAGTACCATCTTTGCATTTTTTCATTGCAGCAGTTAATTATGTTATTTATTGCTCCTGTGTTTGGCAGGTTACAATCTATGCTAGAGTTCCCCAGTTTTGGAACCACTGCACTAAAACTATAATACCAACTAATATACACAGTTTATCAACTTTTAATTAATAATACAGTCTATACAGCCTTATGCTGCTATATGCAGGTAGCAGCGACAGGAAGAATCTCATACTGTGAGAGCCTGGCACAATATGTGCAGGGCTTTGCCTGTTGAGCCATGAGCTGATCAAAAACAATGCATGAATGAATCTAGGCCAAAAACACAGACACATGGTAGACCAATAGAGCTCTGATTATGGAGCAGTGTCAGAGCTTTGTTGACTTTGAAGGCAGTTACACTAATGCCACATTAAATACCAAATACCACCACAAGTATTAAGAAGCAGTATCTTTCCTTTGATACATTGATTTTTGAGAGGAGAGTACACACTGAAGTTTTTTTGCACAATAACGTAAAACACAATGTAGTAATTCATCAACTAATAGTAAATTTGTTGTACTCCGAACAATGACAACAAATTAATTCTGTTCTTTTCTAAACCATAATGTTTGTCAGCTCATCATGAAGATGCAGTCAACATATTTCTACATAATCTGACTTGTGAATTTTGTGTGTTCCCATTAAACACCAGGATGATGTGAAAGGGGAAGAGGATATGGCAGCAAAGAAGGCCGCTCTGCTGGAGAAGAGGCTGAGGAGAGAGAAGGAGGCTCAGGAGAGGAAGCAGCAACAGGAGCTGGACCAGGAGCAGAAGAAGGAAGCTGCACGGTCTGTCTGACCCTCTTACCTTCTGTCTATTTGCTAATTCCAACACTGTTCCCAGGTTTAAAACATCGATACATACAGCATGTCTTTTGAACTTGAGCGTGCAGTTATACAATAAATCTTCATCTCGGTCTCCTCCTCCAGGTTGAAAGCCGAGGAGGATCAGGAGAAGAAGGATGATGAGAAAGCAAGGAGGGAGTACATCAGGAATGAGTATTTGAGGAAGCAGCAGCTCAAGCTGATGGTGGACATGGATGACGTCATAAAGCCCCGATCTGGAAGTCTCAAGAAGAAGCCACGGCCTAAGTCCATCCACAGGGACGTCATGGAGTCGTCCACTCCGCCTGTGAGAGCAACAGGTGAGGGACATTCAAATCATATGCACAAACACTCAATATCCCTGTATGACAGCCACAGATCCATGCTCGACCTGTCTGTGTTGTTGTGTTGCAGGGGTGCGTCCTCGAGGCTTCTCAGTATCAAGTGTTTCTTTAGCGTCTCTCAATCTGGCTGACAATGACAGAGATCAGCCAAATAACAAGAAGAACAACAGGTAAGACCCACTGAAGTTTCTCTTACCTTGTCTCTCTCAATAAAACTCAGCTTAGCCGCAGACAAATTACTGTATTGAGGTTTTTCAACAATGTACTTTTGCACTGCTGGTTGATTCTAAGATGATGTGTATACACAGTTATAACAGTTACAACAAATTTGAAGTCTATGAAAGTTTGTACAAAATGATAAACTAAGTGACACCTCTGTTCTCTCATCATCTCAAATCAAAGTTATTTACAAAGTTACAACTTATGGTACCATGAGCTGACTGTACATCTCATTTTCATGCACCTTTTCTTCAAGCTCCTTACAATCCTTTTTTATTTTTTAAAGTTTTTTATCATACTAGTATGTATGTATGTATGTTTACAAAATCTGTTCAACTAGTATTTCAAAATTCAGTTTTTTGCCTTTTCAAATTCTGCAATTGGTTTGTCCATTTGGCCATTCGTTTATTTATTACCACCACTGTGATGTGCAATCCCACCCCATATTTCACTTGTGTCACACCCCAGATATCCTTTACTCTGCTGTGATTTCAATTTCATGGGGTTTTCTGATGATGAGGTTATTTTTCTCTCGTTTCCCTCTCTCCTTTTTTTTGTCTATTTTGCCTGCGTCACCTCAGAGGCAATAAACTAGCTTCTGCCCATGTCCCGTTCTTTCTAAGCTCTCCCAAAGAAAGAAAGGGAAGGTTAGTAATGTTCCGAAAAGTAGTGCTTCAACAGATGTGGCTCCATGTAGAAACAGCTCCATCTGATTTTGGTCTAGGCTGCATTTCATTAGACGTTCTTTCAGCGCAGACTCATATAATGTGTCAACAGTGAAATTATTCAACGTATTTCATTACTGCAGTTTTTTGCTTCTGCATTAAGGTACAAGGAGCTGCGTGGCTGAGATGTTTCCGCCTCAGTTCTCCTGCTCTTTATCCTTTCTCTGTCTTTTGCAGTATTGCTCTCAGGCCGTTGTTTGCTCTCTCCTTTATGTTGGCTGCCCTGTGCTTCACCACTGTGTTTGCTGTTTCCTCCACAAGTACTTGAGCTCGTCTCTCACAGTAGCCATAAAGATAGCACTGTGACTTTGCTTTGCTTGGCTGAACATGCCTTTCTGTCCCTCGCTGCACAGCTTCGTCGGAGTATGTACAGTATGATGTAATGTGAGACAACAGGCAGGGTTTGGAGAATTGTGTCACAGCGTCTGACCTTGTTTTACCACATCTCTCTGTGTGTGTTTAATATCTGTGTGTGTGGGCATGTCTGTTTGTGCAATCTGTCTGTGTATGCTATCATCCATCGTACTTATGTGTATCAACATTTACGTATGTGGGTTTTTGTCATGTTTGTTTGTATCATTTGTTGGTTTGTATGTGACCATCTCCAGGCCAGACTCTGCAGAAGGTTTTTCCTCTTGTCCTTCGACTGGCAGTCGGAACGGAGAGAAGGATTGGGAAAATGAGTCCACCACCTCATCCACTCCCTCCAACGCTGAGTACACAGGTATAAGATACACCTGTACTGTTTACACAGTTCATCGACATTTAAACATCCACTGTAAATTTGCTTTTGCAATCTCATACATGTGCTTTCTTTCCGCAGGACCCAAACTATACAAGGAGCCAAGTGCCAAGTCTAACAAGCACATCATCCAGAATGCCCTGGCTCACTGCTGCCTGGCTGGAAAGGTCAACGAAGGCCAGAAGAACAAGATACTGGATGTATGTTTTGCAGTTATGTGTCTGCGTCTTTCTGCAATAGATAACGTTCTGCACTAAACAATGACTTTTTTCTGTGATTTTCTGCAGGAAATGGAGAAATCCGAAGCCAATAACTTCCTGGTGTTGTTCCGTGATGCCGGTTGCCAATTCAGGTCTGTGTACACTTACTGCCCCGAAACAGAGGAGATCACCAAACTGGCCGGCATCGGGCCAAGGAACATCACGACCAAGATGATCGAGAACTTGTACAAGTACAACTCAGACAGGAAACAGTTCAGCCAGATCCCAGCCAAAACTATGTCCGCCAGCGTGGACGCCATCACCATTGCCAGTCATCTGTGGCAAACCAAGAAGCAGGGGACGCCCAAAAAACTGCACCCCAAATAGTGCCAGACATCTGGGCAAGATTTGGACACGCTTGCTTCAATGGGACAAACACAGAGGAGCTTGTGGATTTTTACTGTTTTATTAAAAGGACACACGGTCCCACTGTAAGAAATCACAACTGGAATGTAGAACACAAAAGGGGCTCACAGAAATTGTCGTTTCAATACAGAGTTGACTGTTACACCCTGGACTACTTCAATGGGGCAGAAGTGTGTACTTGTCAGCATGTGTATCAATGTTCTTGTGTGCCAAAAAAAGAGGAGAAAATAATAGGCGGACCTTTGCCTTACCAAGTTGAACCACTGAAGCAGTGAATGTCACGCCTCTGAAAGAGGCAGTTTGGTTTCTATAAGTTGATCATGTGTGGCCTTATGCTTGTTTTGTGTCATATGGATGCGCTGTGAGTGGTGGTGTCATTTTGTCAGCGCCTGTGGAAAAAGTCTGTTGTGATACAGGAGAGGTTGTGTATACTCACAGGTCTGGGATCAGATTTCGCTCCCGTCAAGCCCAGGTTGTTGGCCTGTCTGATCTGTGATCAGGTAGAGGCAGCATTTTTGATGAGAGTTTTTGCTGCTATACAGGCATGTTTTTTTTTTGTTTTTACATGTGACTGAAAAAAACAGTTCAAATTTGTGTATGTGTGTGTATAGTGAAGTGCCAAGAAGAGTGAGGAAAATACCTCAGTTGGTGATTGCAATTACTTTCCAAAAGTGTGAAATGATGAAAATGAAATTAATGAGCATACAGAGTACCATCAAGCAATTCTGGAAAGCACCTGCAATAGATTCTTAATTTATTTCATTTTGATAATGCTTTGAAGTTATTTGAAAAGGCATCTTAGATTTTATTCAGAGAAACATAATATACTATACGTATATAAGTTAAATTAATTTGTATATGATGGCAGATCCATTAAAAATGAACAAGTCCGCTTGTAGTAGCTTTTATAATTCATCACGTGTATCAGTATGTTGTCGTTTGGGGCCTTTTATTGTCCTACAAATGCAAAAAGTGTAAACACTCAACAGTATCACTGATAAGACTATCAGTAGTAGAATAGATGGAAATCCCACACTATGTCATCAGTCTGTGCAATTAAAGAATCATTCAAATATTCACTATTGATCATGTTGCAGTTGGAACTAACACATATTCAAAATGACTTTAATGTGGATGTTGTCTTAACTTTTAGATCTCGATTGCCCTCAACGTAGTCCACAACTGTAAATAAATGAATTCACCAATAATAGCAGAATAATAGACCCTGTCCACTGTCGCTGACTCGTTTCCACTTAAGAACTGTCTCGCTTGTTACTTTACTTTCACATTACTGTTACATTTTTTTATCATGTGTTCCTTCAGTATGTGTTGACACTGTACAGATATATTTTGGCATATAGAAATATTTTTTTGTAATGACATTTACCTGTTGGTGTGTACTAATGAAGCAGCACAGTTGTTGAAGACAAGAGTGTTGAAAGCAAAGTGTCCCCGATGAGGCAAGCCTTAATAAGGCTTTATTGTGGTATTGTAGAAATCCATGAAGTATACTGAGAAAATCATAGTATTTTTTCCAACTTTTCTTTTCGGTTTACTAAATATGCTCAACTGTTCATGGATTTTTGTTGTTTTTTATTGCTTTGAGCTTTATTAAAATGCCAGCTATCAACTGTATTCATGTTGTCTCATTTCACATTCCTGTCCTGATTGAGTCAAGTGTACTGATGATAATGGCCTCATTTAAACTGATATTAATGCGGTCTGACATCCTGTCTGGCATAATATCATTCTACCACTCGTCCTTATCTTTGCAAGGACCTATAAGTAAATAACATAGGTAAGTATCAACCACCTATCCAATACCTGTTTGTATCATTATCATCAATATCCATGTAGGCTGTGCAAACCAAGACCATCACTAGCCGAAGTCTAGTTATTCTGCAACACCAGACATATGTTTGTTTTCATTATCATCATCATTACCTGTTGTAGTGTAGCTGTGTATGTGGCACACACTGAATACTACTATACTGAAGACTCAAATAAAACATGGAGTTATTCAGAACATTTTCACCATATCCTTAATTGTTCTTAGAGCTAGATTGATAAATCAACTGGGCCCATAAATCAGCCAATATTAGCTCATTGCAGATGTATCAGTATTGGTATCTATAGTATGCCAATGATGATAAACAGGAAATTGCTGTAATGAAATACAGAAATGCCAAAAGGTTTGTTTAAGTGTTTCCAGTATATTGTTTTGAATAGTTTATTCCCGTGTTAGGGTTATTTTTCAACTTTAAAATATCCACTCACATATCTTGATGACAGTTCCCTAATAAAAAAAATTAAATGTATCCTTATTAAAAATGTTAATATTAAAATGGACATTAGCTGATACATTTTTATCAATAAAAAACAAATTAAATATCAGTATCTGCTTCAACAATCTACCATTGTGCATGCAATGAAAAGCTGCCTATATTACTGCAATGGATAAATATTCTAACAATATCACTATAAATTCCCATATACCATTTATAGATGTAAATATTAAATAAATACAATGTTTAGTTTATAATAATAATGCAGTTTTATTGTGAATTAGACCAGTGTCATACACAAACACTAACAGGCACAAGGGAAGGGAACCTGCCTGTCTTTGGCTGTGATAGGTTAGAGGTTTGCCCTGAGGGGCCACAGAGGGGCCACACAGGGACATTGCTATAAAGATTTGCATCATAGTCCAAGTGAATGAGTAAAAAACAAATGAGTACAAAAACTGAAAAGAACTCTTTTGCATATGAGATAAAAAAGGGCCCCTTCAAACCTCTGTGCACGCCTCTGTTTCTTCCCAGTACTTATATAACGTTTTAATACTCCTGACAGTTTTATTTCTATCAAAGTATCTATTTATTTTATTCATCTTCCCATCATGTTGTGTCTGGAGGCTGATAGAGGCGGTGCTCCCGCAGGCAGCAGGCGGGCGGCAGGCTGCAGCAGGAGGCAGGGCAGGGCAGGGCAGCAGCAGACCGCAGCAGAGCGCCACAGAAAGATCCAGCAAGGAGGGGGACACACTCAGACAAGGAGGAGGGGACAGAAAGCCAACACACACACACACACAGCCCCGAGTCCGACAGCACGGAGCGGTACCGTCGTGACAGCGCCTGACAACCGCAAAGGAAACACCAAAGGGGGGAGACTGCGTTTTCATGTATTTTTAGACACAGGTGAGCAGTGGTCGGAGCACTCGGGCAGATTTGTGTTGTTGTCGGGAGAGCTGTCAGTGCTGCACCCCGCCCGTCCAGCTAACTAGCGGATGATGCCTCTCTCTCCCCTCGGCCTCGCTAGCTAACAGTCCCCCTCCTCCTCCTCCTCCT